GTGGAAAACCAACTCTCAGGCTTGTGGTAGCAGCAGTCATCAATGAAAGAAAACGGGGGAGCTATCATCAAATGATAACTGAAAAAAGGAATGAAAAACATCCAAAAAGCTTTTCCTTGGAATTACGGTGATTATACTAATTTGAAAAGAACAATAGGGGCTGGCCTGGGGGGGCGCAGCGAATAAGTTCACACGTTCCGCTCCGATGGCCCAGGGTTGCCCAGTTCGGATCCCGGGTGTGGACATGGCACCACTTGGCACGCCATGCTGTGGTAGGCGTCCCACATAGAAAGTAGAGGAAGATGGGCACGGATGTTAGCTCAGGGCCAGCCTTCCTCAGCAAAAAGAGGAGGACTGGCGGCAGATGTTACCGCAGGGCTAATCTTCCTCAAAAATTTAAAAATAAATAAATAAATAAATAGAAAGAACAATCACTGCTGGTACCATACTTCCTCTAATTTGGTAGGTGGGGGCAAAGAAAAGTAAACAGTGCTACAAAGGAAAGTGAGACTCCCCGAGGCCACCTACCTGTTTGATAACATACCAAGGAAGGGCAATGCTGCCAGGTTCCCAGCTGATGATCAGCTCCCTGCCTGGAATTCCGAGGAAGCCCTGGCAATTACTGATCCTAGTGTGGCTGCAGATCCTATTCTGATTCATGGAAGTGTCTAAATTTACCATAGTTCTCACAACACTGTGAATACTTCAGGACTAGGAGCTTCCTGCTTTAAAAAAATAAGAATGCAAGTCTTTTTGGCACACCTCCAGTTTCCCCAACATTAATTTATTTTGGCTAAGAACATCAAGTAAGGAAGATGCTCTCTGTACCACACAGAGGGCCCGCTTTAGTGATGTCTGCCATTAGACGGGCAAACAAAACAAAACTTACCTGTCAATTTCACTGCTCGTTGGCCGAGCCACTTTGGCTCCCGAAGATCCTAAAGTGTAATTTTCCTGTCCTACAGAACCATGGCCGGTGGTGTCAATCACCATGGCTGTGACTTCCTCTGCACTACTCCCATCTTCTCCAGAAGGCTGATTCTCAGGCCCAAGCCACTCCTCGAAACTTTCAGTTTTGATGTGTACTGCTCCAAGAACCCTCACTTCATCATCACTCCGGGCCCCTCGGTCTGCTACTCCTGTCTCCACGTACCACTGTCCTGCTCTGTTGATCCGAAGAATGGGCTCCCGGCTCTCTACATCAGAACTCTGTTCAATTACCTGTGGGCTGGTGGACTCCTCAGGAGGACTGAGCTCCCTGATATCCAGCACAGCACTAACCTGACCTCGCCAGTTTCCCTTTGGGGCATTATGCCGTGGGCTGAGGGAGCGGTTTAGATTTGGGGTGACCCTGTGAGACTCTGGAGGTCTCTCTGGATGCTTTGTCCTCGTTTGACTTAATTCTGCTTCAACCTCACCCACGTTAATTTTGAAATGAATGCCCTCCAGGATCTGTGTACATTTGTCTATAATATGCTGCATCTGCAGAAAACTGGCAGCTGTCAAGTAGCTGATAATATCTGCCAGTTGTAGGCATATCCGCCCTGTATAACAGAAAGAAAGGAGCTGTTCAAAAACAGTAGGGTTTTTGATGACTGAAATGGAGACAGTACTCATCTCATTCAAGGACATGTGATCTCGGAAATAGGGGGAGCTGGCAGCTAGTACCACTTTGTGAGCCCGAAAAGCTTGTCCTTGCACATTGACCACGATATCACAGAGACGGCCCTGCATGCGCAGCTGGTTTAGATGGCTCAGGACGGAGTTGCTGAAGTCAGGGATCTCCAGTTGTATGTTCCCTCCTTTCTCCATGGTCGTGCCTGAGGGCGTAGGCAGGCATTCAACCCTGCTGAAAGAGGAAACCACATTCCCATTAAAAGTTGTAACTTCACTCCCCTCGTGCTTTCCAATTCAAACATATTTAAAAATATTATTTGGTAGAATTTCAAAATCTCCAAGCAAAAAGAGATACCATCCTTATGTTTAGATGTGGAAAAGAAATACCAACAGGTTTTTCAGTCTAGGTTTCATGGCAAGACACCGTTAAAACTGAAAAGCGATTATTAGACTCCTAAAAATTCAAGCTATGCCCATACTTTCCTTACTAATGAGATATGCAACATCAAAACAGAAGTTCAACAGAACAGACGAGGAAACAGCTATTGTCAGGTTTTTTTAAAGTGTTAATCATAAGGTATTTGTACACTGAATATAACATCCTGTGACAACTTCCCTTTGGAGGAAAGGAAGCAGCTTTTTGAATAACAGTAGTTATACACAGACGGGTTGATTAGATGTCTCTCTTCTTAATATTTTACTACGTGCTGCATGAGTTATGTTTATTATTTCATAAAGTGACTAATATCCCACACGAATCTAAGACATTATTTCTAAGCTTAAGAGTCAGAGCACCCCAAAAGGCTTTGGGTTCAGGAGTCTGAGGCAAACCCAAGGTTAGGAAAAATGCCACAGCTGTGTCAGGACTCTGTCAAGACGAGGACTGGGAGAAGTTCACTCTCAGAAGTAGGAAAGGGTAGGCAAACCGGCCTTCATCTAAATTCGAAGTCGGGAATCTCAGAGTGGTGGTGATGTTTTGATTCTGAAATTTAGTTCCCCAAAGCTGGTAAAAAACTGACATCTACCAAATATGGCCAATATTTTAACATTAAAAGATTTTAAAAAACTTGCTAAATCACTAAGCCTATAACTGGATCCAACAGTCTTCGACGGTTTAGAGCACAGTTTGTACAAATCCCAACAGGAAGACACTGACTCGAGTCCAAGGTGTTTCCATTTATCTGTAAATTTGTAAGACATCACAGTTGCGTAGGACCTGCAACTTCAGAACTTAACCTGACAAGCTCGCAGTATGGCCATGCATTTACAACACACTTATCAGTAAATAGGGAAGTGTATATATACTGCTTTTAAGAATCAACTTTAGCCAATCTGACCTTTTTCCAAAGCGTTTTTGTTTGTTTTGAAACTTTTAATCCAATAAGAGCCTCTGTCGATGCCATCCTGAATTCAGATGTGCTTATTTTGGAGCCTACACCAGCGCCTTTTTGGTTTGCTCTTTCCGGCAATTCCCCAGTGAGGAGGAAGCCCCTGGAGTAAGGTCTTTACCGTCGGCACTGGAGGGGTGAGAGCTGTAAGAGGGAGAATCGGGAACGGCATGGGGTTGGCCACTCCGGTACTTGAGCGGCTTTCGCCCGCGTTAGGAAGCGTGGGGAGCGCGGGCTGCCTGAGGGGGGAAACGTCAGCGAGGCGCGGGGCCGGGGAGCGAGCAGTCAGGTGAGGGTAAAGGACCGGGAAGGGGGCGGCGCCCCGGGACCGGGTCCAGGCGGGAGGCGTAGGCGGGCGGGGAGCTGCCCAGAGGTGGGTGTGTGTGTCTGGGTGTGTCCGGGCTGCCGTGGGGGAGGGGGCCGCCCATCCCGGGGTCCTGAGGGAGGGGCCCGGCGAGGGGGCGGGTCCGGCAGCTGAGCCCGGCCCGGGGCCAAGGGGGTGGAAGGTCTCCGGGTGCCTTGAGGGGGGCTGAAGGGAAGTGGCTGGGCGCCCCAGGAGCAGGCTGCGGCGGAGACCCGGCAAGGCGGCCCCGGTGCAGGGCAGCGGGACCAGCGTGCGGGGCCCGAGCCCAGTCAAGGAGCAGCACCTACCTCCGGGGGTGGAAATGGGCCGGAATGGGCCGGAACACCGTCCCGGAAGTGAAACCCCCCACTCCCTCCCCCGGAGCGGGCGACGTGCCGGAAGGAAATCACTCACCCTTACACCGCTCCCCCTCCCTCTTCCCCCCTCCCCCCTCCCCCAGCGCTTTCCGTCTCTCGCGCCCCCTCCCCTCTCCTCTCTTCCTTCTTGGTAGGAGGGCGGGAGCCCTGCGTCACGCTGGCGCCGTGTCCCCGCCCACAATGGCGAGGTGGGGCGGGGCCCAGGGGGGCGGGCTTAGAAGACGGGAAGGGGTGTGGCTGGGGGAGGGGGCGGAGACAGAGGGAGGAGCGGGGAGGAGCTGAAGCAGACGCTAGCGGGGAGAGTGCGTCATGACGTCATGGAAAAGAGTCTTTATATACAGGTGCCTGGACGCCATCTCGGTCTTTCGAGGCTGGGAGTGAGTGGCTGGTATGTTTGTGTTTTTGCAGTTGCTGAATGGGTTCTTGGTTCTAGGCCTCCAGGCCTTGGCTGTCAAAGGCACCTTCAAGTGGCTGGCATTCCTAGTCCAGTTGCAAGCCTTTGCAGGACTCACAGACGACGATGGTGGAAGATTGCGCGTCGGGTGGTGGCGCGACCTAAATTACTGCAGTGGTGGTTAGGGCTGAACTGCGGGAATATCTCGGCTCGCGTGTCCTGCCTCTGATGAAGCCTGTGTTGGTAGGGACATCTGAGACTGTTGATGAATGCCAACGGTTCTGATGGCGGTGCATGCTGAGAAACCCGAGCGGGCCTTTGTTAATAATTTCGGCCGCTTGCTCTCAGGAAGGCGGGTGGTTGGAGTAGACCACGTGGTTCTCTAAATGGCTGCATTCCGCAGTGCACCATGGTTGCCGTCCACGGTTCTTAAACTTATCTTTTTGCATTGCTCTTTTATAATATAAGTGCACCCTTTACAGTCATGAAATCATGGGTGGTATAAACGCTCTGCAGACATGATACAAAAAAGACAATGGTTAAGCTTAATTTAGAACAAAATGAATTAAAAAAATCTCTAATTTTTAATCTAGGAATGGTGCGAGGCACGAATACAATGTGGCTTTTGATGGCACCAGATGGACAGGTAAGAAATTGATAAATACAGTGGGAAGAATGAAATCTGCTTAGAGGTGGTCTTTATGTTAAGCCTGTGATGGTTTAAGAGTAGTGGACAGAAAGGATTTCTGAAAAGCTGTATTCTGAGGCTTAAATACTTAAGACATTAATGTTTAACTTGGCTAACAGCATGTTTGATTGGATATGCTTTGCCTGTTTTGTAGGTCTTTGCCAGAGGGCTGAGAACAGCTGCTGGGGTAAGTTACTGGAATTCCTCACAAAGGGAAGTAGGTCGAAAATGCGCTGAATGTGCCACAATGATGACATTTTATTTGCTACTCTTGACTGTAAGAATGACGAGAATTATTACCACCGTTATCCTAACTGAGGCACACAGAATGGTGATTTGGAGAACATCGAGATTGCACGTGAGTTTACATGAAGCTATTTCTTCGCAGGTCCTAAAGGGCAAGCTTCACACACTAGCTGTGGGCAAACAGGTGAGAAGCCTTTTTATAGTCCACATTTACCCAGTACTTTTCAGTTAATTTTTTCAGAGGTTACAAATGGCCAAATAAGTGTTGATTGCATTAGGGTTTTCCTCCCCTTTTCAAATGTGAACTTCTGCACTCCACATTTTATATTTAATGCTGAGGGAAACCTGGAGAAACAGATACTATGATGGTTGCATAGTTCAGCAGATTGAATCATGAAGAGAGAAACCATTTGTCTGATGTATCTGGGATCTTTAGTAAAACTGGTTTGCTGTTAATATAACCACAAAGAAGTACTACTAATCGAGCTGCTCTTCTTTCTAGACATTAAACAGAATTAGCTGGAAGTTGAAGTGGTAAGTAAAACTATAATCAAACTAAACATCGGTAACTGGGCAAAGTGACAGAAATGGCTTTTTAGGGATGCCTTCTAATGCACAGGAAGCACTCATACTAGGAAGTGCTTGAACAGTGTGCTTAAATGCATTAAATAAATGCCAGGTCCTTGTCCTGTTATTGGTATTAACGTGCTATCATAGTTTGTAAAAGCAGCCTGTATGATGATAAGCGAATACTGACTGAACATGAAGGTCTTAATTAGCTCTACCTGATTTCAGGCACTTTTCAGATTTGTGGGGAGAAAATTTATCTTTGGCTATTATAAAACCACTCTTATTTCTTAGGTGGACTTGAGCTTTGACATGTCTGGATTGAGAGTTTGGTTTTTTTGGTAAGTGTTAATGGTAAAAACATTTCAGTAGGCTTAAGTGTTACTGAGAATGCTGATATGGTAGAATGCTTAGCTACCAAGCTACTAATTATGACTTACCTCCTATGTTGGTGAATGCATGTTGAGCATGCTCTGAACGGGGTTTTTGTAATGATGTTGATCAAATGTCTGACCTGAAATGAGCATGTAGACAAATTTAACACTGAAGAACCCTGTGAGAAATAATTGAGGGAAATTTAATGATATTTAGCATTTTAATGAAAGATCTCGTTTCCCTTCTAGCTACTGGGTACTACACAAGTTTTTATTCGCGGATGGCTTGCTTAGGGTAAGACATCAAAACACTTCTTTGTCTCCTGGTACTCAGGTTCATTGTTTCTGAAATGTGCTGGTCTTAGTAATTGTTGGCTATCTTAGTGTTTCTGTGTTGCAAAGCCAGTGGACAGTTTTGACAAGTAAAAGGCTTTAGTAGTCAGCTATGATGACGTACATCTAAAGCGTTACTCTCTTTTTTTAGGTGCAGATGTTGGTCACCTTTTATGTAAAGGTATGTATTTTATTAATCTTACATAGTTACTAAGTAAGGTGCTGTTAGTGATGATTTTTGAAAATAACAGATGGGAATCTCTCTGAAAAACAATGAAGATTAATTTTTAAAAACTGAAACAGTACCTGGAAAATTATATAACTGCCCCTATGACTACCTATGACTAAATTTGACTAAATTTCTGTAGGTGTGAAGAGTTGGGTCGTCTGCAAGGCCTGGAACAGGAGTTTTAAGCACAGGTACTGTTAGTCAAGTTTGGGTTTTACGTGGAGTGGTTTAAAGCCGATACAATGATGATAACATAGTTCAGCAGACTCACGGTGATGAGCAATATTAAGTCTTTCGCTCCTATCTGATGTATCTGGCTGCAACAATCTTATAATACCCTTGAAAAAGGAAGTTAGCTATTTATTGTCCCATGGAAAATGGTCAGGAGTTTGGATAACTAATGGCTCATATACAAACGTTCTGTACTCTCTTAATTTCAGGGTTAAGAATTCAAGATTTGGAGAAGTACAGGTTTTAATATATTTTAATTAACAAACATTTAGAGAAGTGTAGATGCTCAGCAAACCTGAGCCAGAAAGTAGAGTCCCATATACCCCTCTGTCAACATCCACCACCAGAGTGGGACTTGTGTTCCAATACGATGAACCTGCATTGACATGTCATTATCACCCAAAGTCTATAGTTTTTGTTAGGGTTCACTCCTGGGTTGTGCATTCTCTGGGTTTGGGCAAATGTATAATGACATACATGCACTGTTGTAGTACTGTACAGAATAGATTCAGGGCCCTGAATGTTAGTTTCAAAAACTTAATGGGGGGAGTTAAGTAGGCAGTTTTTAAATGAATGGCTTTTTTTTGTCTTCTAATAGGCAGACCTTCTGTTACTCTGAAGATTTCAAGGTAAATCAGTCTTTGGTGTTGCATATGATATGTTAGAATGTAACCAGTGATGTGATGATTCTGCCAAATGAAATAGAATGATATCACTTATAAAACCGTTCCATTTTGATTCTGAGGTTACTAACAAGCATCACTGAAGTTTTTTGTTTGTTTCTTTTTTACCATGATTAACATGTCATCTTTACTAATTTTAGGGCATTTATGACAGCAGTTATGCAGCTTACCAGTTGAAAGGTGAGACTTAAAAATACAGTGCTGTTGTCTTATTCCAGAATACATGATGATCTCACCCCAACTTGAACTCTCTCACTGATTACTTGATGATGAGATAAGATCTGATATTCATATACTCCAAATACCATTAGAATTGAAATATGGAAATATGAGTAAAATGGCTTCTTTGTTTTTGCAGACAGCTGGATGGATGCTTGTGTGATAGAAGATTAAAAGCAACTTTCAGTTTTAATAAATTTTTATACAAAATATCTGATCAAGTGTGCTTATTTCACTTCAGTAGGATAAAGGAAGGGAAATAGGACACCTTGGTGATTAAGGCCCTCTGGCGTTCGTTTAACAACACATTTTCATATGTATTTTACAGGATGTCTTAGGATTGAAAGTGCAATTTGTGCTGAGAAATAAACTATAGCATTTATATTTAAAATGCTGTGCTTCTGTTGGAAACAGTGACATGATCTGAAGGATGAGCTATATTTTGCAGAAATTGTCTAGGGCTTGAATGTGAAATCACTTGGTCAATTTTTGCCCGAATTTTTTTTTTTTTTGGGTGAAGATTGGCACCTGGGCTAACAACTGTTGCCCATTTTTTTCCCCAGCTTTATCTCCCCAACCCCCCCCCTGTGGGATGCTGCCTCAGTGTGGCCTGAGGAGCGGTGCCATGTCCACGCCCAGGATCTGAACCCTGGGCTGCTGCAGTGGAGTGCACGAACTTAACCACTTGGCCACGGAGCTGCCCCCACCAGAAATTCTTTATCTGAAAATCACCCTTAAAAGCCAGAGTACTAGCTTGAGGCTGGAAAAGCAAAATTTGAGCTTAAGCAATTTTTGCTATGGAAGAAAGTGCCCAAAGAATGAGAATGTTAACACAGGAACCTCACCGGTGCTCTTACTGACCCAAATGGGCAATTGAACCATCAAAATACATGCCTTTATACAGACGAAATTGCAAAGAAAAATGAGCTCTTAGAGTGGCAGTAGGAATGCTGGAATTTGAAAATCTACATTTGCAATAAGTAGCATGGTGATGGGTCTGGCAAGTTGTTGATAGATGCCAAAGTTGGTGGGTGCAAGGGAAGTAACTGTCTCAGAGACCTCCCCAAAGATGGATATTTTAAAAAGGCCTAGAAAAAACAGTGGGACAAACTAGATTTTAAATGAAGTGTAAATACTACTGTTATAGAAGTATCCTTGTGTTAGGAAATCGGTGTTTAGGAGTACTAGTTATGCAAATAAAATTCTGGGGCATGTACTTAGGTCAAGTTAATGAGGATAGTAAGATTAGTAAACCAGTGGGTTGCCAGTTAATTACTCCCAAAATTCCTGAAGGAAATAGCTCTGGCTTCTGGCAACATCCCAAAGCCTAAATATTAAATACTTCCTAATCAAATTTAAGCTCACTAATTAGCCCTTGAAAGTGGGTAGGAGCTTTTGAGTTACTGTTTTTCTTAAGACTTTAATACTTTTGATAGCTTAAGAATTGTGAACATTGCAAATCTGAATGGATAAAAACGGTCACTCCTTTTCTCCAAAATAAACCCTCTGTTGGTAGAAGTGAGTTCTAATGTGTTCAGGGTATGAGGGAATAGTATGTTTCAAGCTCTGTTAGCTCTAGCCACATGGACATGCCATGCTTTTTTGAGGTTTCTTCAGGCTTTTCATGCTTGCTCTTTCTCTGCAGGAAAGGTAAAATACCTTTCAGTGCCTGGTGCTTACTCAAATGTCTCCCCCGGGCTCTGAGGCCCTATGTGAGACGGAACCACCTGCACCCGACTCGAGGTCTCTTAACCTTTTATTCTTCATCCTACCCCCACTACTTGGTGTTACATGTTGACTCATTTTCCCCTTTCTAAGAGGTAAAACGCCATGGAAGGGATTTGGTCTGTTCTGTTTGTTGCAGTATTAACAAGCCTGTTATACTCTGTATTTACTGAAATAACTGTAGATGTGATAAGATAGTCTTTGAGAAGTTGTGGAGATTGACCAGGTACCGAAAGACTGAGGATAAGATATCCTGAATGTGAAACGGGGAAAATTCTATTTCAACGAAATAGGCAGCGAAGTACCTCCTATCATGAAGGTCTATGGCTTGGGTGACTGCCTGGTTGAAAACTGTCCACAGTCATGGCTAATGAAACAAATCTGAAGGGCCATAAACGAATGAAAAAGAAAAATAATAGCTCCTTTTTGAATGCTTACTACATGCTGAGTGTGTGTTTTAGTTCATCCTTTTAATGATAGCAGGTTAGGAGTTAGCCTCCATTTTATGGGTAAATAGGCTCAGAGGATAAGAAAGTTACCCGAGCCCACACAGGTGGTAAGTGGCAGAGACCAAATATACAAGAGCCTATCTCATTCCTAATTGACAGAATTAGAACATTGAAGAATAATTATCTTTGGGGACTGGAAGAAAGGACCAAAAGCACTAAATGAAACACTACAGGCAGGAATATTGAAGTCTTCTCTTTCTGTCTGAAAAGCCCCAACGGTGTCATCAGGATGGGGGGAAAGCTGGCTTGACCGAGGATTGTTTTGGAAAAACTTGGAGGCTTTATGGAGTACAAACTCAGTGTTATCCAATGGTGGAACTGAGCGGGTTTAAAAAAAAAAACAAAAACCCGTTGTGACCTTAAGACTCTGGCACTGAGTGGGAAGTTGGACTACTCAATCTCGGGGATGCCTTCCAATCCTAGGAACCTGTAATTCTATATATAATCTCACACACTGCTCGAGCACTGGGGGTGGCGTGGGAGAATGGAATGTGTAGGTTGCTGTTATACCCTGCTATCTTTAGTGTGAATCACTGATTCCCAGGTTTATAATTCCAATATCCTCCTCATTTATTTGAAAACTATATATATTCATGAAAAATTATACCCATTTACTAAGTGAGATCCCAGGTAAATTATTTTCATTGAAGAAAATGGAAATAACCCATTAGTTGACCCCAACCCCACCAGAAAGTCAACAAATGGCAATTCTAGTTTAGTCATGATCTGTTTCATTTACAGTATGTCCTGCCAAACACATTAAGGAAGGATTTCCAGGGTCCGGCCCTGTGGCCGAGTGATTGAGTTCGTGTGCTACACTTTGGCGGCCTGGGGTTTCGCCAGTTCGGATCCTGGGTGCAGACATGGCACCACTCATCAGGCCATGTTGAGGTGGCATCCCATATGCCACAATTAGAAGGATCCACAACTAAAAATATATACAACTATGTATGGGGGGGGTTGGGGAGAAAAAAAAAAGGGGGCAACAGTTGTTAGCTTAGGTGCCAATCTTTAAAAAAAAAATAAAGGATTTCCATGTAATTATGTTCTCAAGCTGGAAAGTTGGGTTCCATGATTCAAAATCAGTGCTTGTTTATCCTTCAAATGTCACAGCTCTTAAAATACATAAATTGACTTTTTCAACTTTTATAAAGCTGTACATTTAGGTATTTTAAAGGTATCCTCATGCTCTTGAAAATCCCTGGGCTTAGAAATGATATATTGCATGCTTCCTTCCTCCCTCTTCTTCCAGATGTAAAACTAGGGAAAGTGTTGGTGTTCTGTGCCATATAGACGATAAAGCTGAGATTGGACTCCTGTTTAACTTTTAAGTGATCTATTCGTCCCAAGCCATTTTAGTTAAAAACTGAAAGAAAGGTCAATGCTTGCTAAGAATTAAGCTACCATCAGCAACAAGCTGCCGACATTTGAGGGAGTATCTGCTTTAGGAGGTCTTCCCTATTGGTTAGGCTGGTCTCAGGGCTTCTCTGCCTGGCTTCATCTAACAATTTACTGCATCATCTCAAATATGATCTGTTTATGTGTCAGTCTCCCCTGTGATGCTAAAAGCCTCTCCAGGACGGGGACCACAATTTATTCATCTCCATGCCAGACCCACCCCTCGCCCCCAGCTCCTAACCCAGAGCTTGGCATGTATGGGTCAACTATCCATTTAATAATTCACCCAAAACGTGTTTATGGAGCACCTATTATGTACCAAGTAGTCTCTCAGATGCTGGGAATAGATACTACAGAGAATACAGACAAAAGCCCTGCCCTCCTGGAGCTGACATTCTAGTGGGGCAGACAAAATAAGTAAGTAAAACATAGAGTATCAGATAACGTGGTAAGTGCCAGAGAGGAAAAATAAAGCTGAGAAAGGCAGGCAGAGGGTGCTGGTGGGGGGCAGGGCTCTTTCAAATGTGGTTGTCAGGGAAATCTTCACTAAAAAGGAAGCATTTGAGCAAAGACTTGAGGATATTAGGGAGTGAACAATGCAATTATCTAGAGAAAAATTGCTAGGGGAAAGCTAGGGCAAAGGCCTGGACATGTGGTCACACTGGTCAACACCAGGAAAAGCAAGGACGCCACTGTAGAGGGAGCGGAGGGAGTGAGGAGGAGCGCGGGAGGAGGTGGTCAGGAAGTAGCAAGCGGCAGGTTATGGAGAGCTTGGGAGGCCACTGTGAGGACTGTTCTCTGAGATGGGAAACCACTGCAGGGTTTTGAGCAGAGAAGTGATGTGATCTGGAATGTCAGCAAGATTGTTAGGAAGCTTTTGGTGTAATGTAGGCATCAGAAGATGGTCACGTGAAACAGGGTGGGAGCCTGGAGGGGTGGAAAGTGTCAGATGCAGGATTGATTTTGAAGGTAGAGCTGACAGATAGTTGAGACAAAAAAGTCTCTCCAGACTCACTTTCTTGCTCTCATCATAAAGCAGGACAATTAGGTGTTTACAAGACGACTTCAGAATGATGTCTGGACAAAGGAATGTTACACCCTAATAATAGCTACCTTTATATGGCGCTTCCTTTATGTCAGGGACATATGTCAGGGACTGTACTAGCTACTTCCATATATGACATCTTATTTGGTCCTCACAGCCCTGAGGAAAAGACCTGAGACACTGCGTAAGGCAGAACAAAAGATTTTTCTTTTTACTATTTCCAAGCTCACGTGTGATTTCGATGCTAATGCACTATGGCCTTATTCACGTTTACGGTGTAGGTATTGGGTAGCATGGTGGAAAAGACAGACACCTCTTAGACACAGATGGCAAAAGATGAATGTTTCTGATAACAGTGAGAAAAAGGCCCCTAAAGAAATGTATTGTTCTGTGAAGGTAATTTGAAGTTTTTCATATCTTGCTTTACTTTGGTCTTATCTTTCTTATAGACATTGAATTCAAGACTGATAAGTGGTCAAAGTCAGCCCCCTTAGATATGGAACAATTAAGGCCAGGTCTAGCAATGAGGCTTCTG